CACTTTATTTTCCTAAAAATTTTTCTAAGTCATAACTGGATCTCCTAGCTAGTACCAAGTTAGGACCAGCCCAGGATATATAAAAAGAGGTTGCCAAGTTAGGTCCAAGCTAGGGCCAATAATCATTTTAGGCATAGCATGGTGATTTCTACACGGGATACTTGTAATGTGAAATGAACATTGTACGCCACATTTGAGCTTCTGGCGCCATCTATCATAGGAGTTAGGTACTCAAATGCAGGGATCACAGTTCGTCCCCTTTTTCCCCTATTCCCATATTTTTTCCCCTTAATTCAAATATTTTCTCCCCTATTCCCCTTTTTTCAGTAAATTTTTTTTTTTGAAAAGTAAAAATTATGATTTAATAATTTTTTTAAAAGATTTTACAGGGTTTTCAGCGTTCAGGAAAGTCAGGGACATTTTTATAAATTTAATAAGAAAGTTAAAATTTTTTGTGAATTTAAAAATTTTGTAATCTAACAAGACTAAATTGGTTTTTATTATTATTTGTTACTCTAATTCGATATTAATTTATTCCTTATCCTAAAAGAAGTAATCTTGATTTAATGCGGAATCCTCTAAACTGAATGCATATTTTCCTCTTATATATCAAAATTAATACTCTTCACTTTAGAGGATTTTTCTCTCCGATATTATTTGCAAATTGTAGTTATGAACTGATAAAGAAAAGTTAATTTTATGCACTAAATTTAATGTTTTTAATTAAATAATTATATTTAATAACTAAAAGTTAATTACTTACACTACCGTCGGGAATTATCGGTACGGCTGCACGCGCACGGCCCAAAAACATACCAATCTTTAAATCACGATTTTTTTGTAAATACAAATGTCAGAAAATTAACAAATATACCATTCGAAAGATTATTAAATTCTACGATTAATGGTACATAACTGAAAATTTTAATAATTTATACAAAGATTACAGCAATTGACAAATTTGACAAAAAAATTTTAAAAATACAATTTTTTTGGAAATTTTTTCAACCCCTGCACATTTTTTAAAAATTGCAGAAAAAATTTGAAATTTATATAGGTGTGATCATTCAAGTCTCATCTTTAATTTAAGACCTAAAGAATTCAAAAATCTTAATCGGTTAGCGAGATATCATTATAAACGGACGAGCATTTTCAGCCAAAAACCGTTCAAAATCGACTAATTCAATGCATTTGTCAAAAAACATGCTCGGGCGTTTATAATGATATCTCACGAACCGAATAAGATTTTTAAACTCTTTTGGTCTTAAATTAAAGATGAAATTTGAATGATCACACTTAGGGTAAAAGTGGGTATTATCGCGGTATTTTATATTTTAATGAATATTTCAAATAATATAAAAAATGTTTGACACTATAAAATCACTCCTTGAACCTGACAACTAAGACATTATAATATGCATCATATTTTTGATTATTTTTCTATTAATCAATTTATTAAAAATGTTTTAAAATTTCTTGTCTGAAAAAAGTTCAAAATGGCTCACCTTGGTTTGAGATTCAACTCTACAGTGGTGTCAAAAATTATTGTTTTTATATTCTATAAAACTCCAAGAGATGATTCTTTTTTATATTTTGGTAAATTTATTGTTATTCTTCATAAAAAAAATTTGTTTAGTTAAAAAAAATTGATTTTTATTAAATATTTACAGTCACGATAATGGAGACATCTTTTTTTTAACATGTGGGTATTTTCGCGGCTCCTATCATAACCCTTGAAAGTAAGGTTAGCAGTGTGTTTCTAAAGTTTAAAACGTTGAAATTATAGCCAATATTATTTTTGCTTGTTTTAATTTATATTTTAATAAAAGTACTTTGTATATATATATATAAAAAATTAATTTTCAACTAAATAAATGTTGAATTAACATTGTCTTTCCACTTTGCACAGTAACTGTTAAACACATTTAGACACAATAAAAATTTCGTTTATTTGAACGTTCAGAATTTTAGTAAATCTTATAACAGTTACAAAATACAAGCAAGAAAATAAAGAGTAATGGAAAAGATAAAAAAATTAAAGTAAGTGAAATCTGTATATTTAAGGAAAAAATTTTTAATAGCTATAAAAAAGGAGCAAAAGTGTCAAATGAGAATTGACTATACGTTAGAAATATTTGATAATAATTGCTTTACAATATTTTATCAGAGTATTATTTTATATTATGAGACTAATTAAATTATTATAATAAAACCAAGTATCTTTCTTCTTGTGATACTAGTTTACTATTGAATTCGTCCATTTATTATAATGCTTAAAATGTTGTTTAATTCAAGTTCTTGCGATATTTATATTTTTATTTTTAAAACTATATTATTATTCCTTTTAATTTTTTACATTTACTACATTTTAATTAAGTAACTATTACAAAAATCCAAAAAGCAATAAATAAATTATCCGCGATATTTACCACGCGATAATACACTCATCCGCGATATTTGACACGCGAAAATACCCTCAAGCCATTACAAGTCCCGCGAAATTACAAGCAAAGGAGTCTTCTATTTAATCATTTATTTAACGATTAAAACTATTTTCTATAACATTGGCAATTTTTTTTTAAAGAAAAGAAAGCTTAAATATTCATTTAAAAAAAAACAAAGCCATATCCATTTATTTATAATTTTTAAACCACTTGGATGTATGACGTATACAAAATTCCTCGATAATACCCACATTTACCCTATGTAAGTTTCAAATTTTTTCTACAATTTTTAAAAAATGTGCAGGGGTTGAAAAAATTTCGAAAAAAATTGTATTTTTAAAATTTTCTTGTCAAATTTGTCGATTGCTGCAATCTTTGTATAAATTATTAAAATTTTCAGTTATGTACCATTAATCGTAGAATTTAATAATCTGTCGAATGGTATATTTGTTAATTTTCTGACATTTGTATTTACAAAAAATCGTGATTTAAAGATTGGTATGTTTTTGGGCCGTGCGTGTGCAGCCGTACCGATAATTCCCGACGGTAGTGTACATTATTTAATATATTTATTTCCTTTAAATATTCAATGTTTTTGACAAATGTCAATAATAAAACAATGAATTAATTAATAATAAAAATAATATACATTCAAGTCGAATAGTTTTGTTTTGAGAGGAAAACATTAAGAGGATATTAGAAGAGGATTTTTCCTCTAAGTACGAGATTACTTTTTTCTTATATTTTATTAACTATGTTATAGTCGAAGAAGAAATAAGGAAAGTAAAAAGTCAGGGAATCTTTTTCTCAATCCTTGTTGGACACCCTGATTTTATTTTTGTAAAATGTTTAAATAGCGCGCAACATATAACCAACCTTAGAAAACTCCATATTATACCGTAAAAAGAAAAAATGGCTATTTTTTCTTAAATTATTTAAGAAAAAAGGAGCAAAAGAAGTCAGATTTATTCCAAAAAGCTGTAAATAGAAGGAAAAATAAAAGTTTAAAAAAATAAACCCTGTATGTTGTAACAAAGTAATTTTTATCGTGTTTTTCAAAATCCCCTTTTTTAAAGGAAAATCCCCTTTTTTCTTTTGAAAAATCCCCTTTTTTACCTATTTTCAAGTGGAAATGCCACTGTGATCCCTGCAAAAGTTATTTTGATATACTCGCTTACTTGTTTTCACTCATTTAATCTGCCATTGTAAATAGTGATAAACGGTCGGAAAAATTATTTCTAAAGTCAAATTTAGTGCTGAACACGAATTATCATAATGGATTTTTGATATTCTATTGTTCAAAAATTTTACAAGTGTTTTTTCAAAAAATGTGCGGTTGGGGCGAAACTATTCGCCCACTGATGACAGCGAATATTACGAAACAGTGTATTTTTTGTGTGCTTGTTTTTAGGTTAGAATGGTAAGAAATTGGAAGAGAAAAACTCCTGGAATTAACAAATTAATTTTTACATTTTTTTTAGTATTATATCAATTATAGCTGCAAGAATAGTTTCGCCCCTCGTTTTTTTCGACATAAAAAAAAAAATTCGTGAAATCTCTGTAGTTCGGAACAGAATCGAGTTTCAGCAAAATAATACATGGCAAAATTGTAGCTAAGAAGTCAAGTTTTCAAACGGTCCTACTTATTTTTTTATTTTTTTTTAAATACATTTTTAGACTCAAAAATCCGAACAGGAATAGTAATCCCCCACCCTACCCTACTTTAATATTTTTATATTGAAATATTTGTGTATATTAAACATTTGCATATTTCAATATTTTTATTTTTGATATTTTTATATTTTTACTTAAACATTTTTATATTTAAACGTTTTAAAATTTGAATATTTTTATTTTTAAATTTGGCGCCTTTCGCTGAAAGCGATTTTTACCAGTTTTACGTGGAAAAAAATTTGTAGGTTATATTTACGAACATTTTTACTTGATTGATTAAAGATACAAAATAATTTTTTAAACAATTTTTATTAACTATTTTACATACTAAATAATTAATAAACATTGTTTATGACTCCAGTGAATTGAAACTTAATCTTTAATCACGTAAAAATATTCTAAAAATAAATTTTCTGATGCGTAAATTCCGTTTTTACTGAAAAGCGTCAAAAATTAAATTAAATATTGAATATTATTTATTTAAAATATATTAATTACTATTAATTTCTATATGAAATAATTATTATATTATAATTAAATATTCAAATAAATAATAAAGAATAGTCAATATTAACTAATTATTATTACATAAATAATAATTAATATTTAATACTATTTAAACAAATTTGACGTATGATCGATTTATTGTTAAAAATATGTTAATAATATAATTAATATAATATCAAATATTTAATAAACAAGTAAAACAAAATATTTATTGGAAAAAATGTCGCAAAGCAAAAAGGGAAATTTTAAAGGTAAGAAGCACATTCAAATTTCCCGCCTTTTCAGTCACGTGTTTTTTCTATTGTTTTGTTAGGTTATAAATAAAATCCAACCCTTTATTTTCTTTTTTTGTCCCTTAGCAGATATTCTAACGCTTCCAAAAATGGAATTGTAAAATTAATATTACCTCTTAATTTTAATTTCTCAAAATTAACTATTTTCCTCTTTCCTCCCAAAAAAGAAAATTTCAGAATTTAATCTCAACTCTAAGATCATAAACTATTTTCTAGTTATTTTTTTCTGATTTACGCTTATTTTTTTAAGTTCTTAAGTTATAATTTTACAAAATTTAATATCTATTTTGATTCCCTGATGAGGGTATCAACTTTCTAACCTATAAACAATAACAGAAAAAATAGAAATGGCGTGAGTCACTTTGACAGATAGTTGAAACTATAATTATATTACTAATACGTGCGTTCAAGTTCCCTTATTTTTTTAAAATAATTTTGATTATAAAATTTATCATCTATATAATAATAATAACAACAAAAATGTCAAATCGTGATCCTGATAATTTAATGGTAACAAATGACGATCACTTTGATTTTCTATTTAAAATTGTTCTAATTGGAGATTGTGGAACGGGAAAGACTTGTGTCGTACAAAGATTTCGTTCTGGGAATTTCATTGAAAAGCACGGTAGCACAATAGGCGTTGATTTTTCAATTAAAACCGTTTTAATCGATGGAAAAAAAGTAAAGGTAAGTTGTACTTTTTTCCTTACAATTATTTTCATCAAAAATTTTATATATTGTAAAACTTTTTCAACAAGTTTTTGGGAGTTTTTTTTAAACTTATTTTTCTCTACTTTTTTTATTTATTTATTTTCATTTTTATATTACAATATTCAATTACTGATGGTAATTATTTTTTTCTTTTTCTTTAATTAATTGCGGTGTTAAAATTAACTCTTGATTATTTTATCGGAATTTTTAGGTTATGTTTACACTTGTTATTTTTCCATAGTGTCTCATTCTCTTTTTTTTACTCTTATTTTTCCAAAAAACATTTTAATATTTATGAATGGAAATAAAACGACTACTTTTTATTGAAGTAATTAAATTTTATTAATTATATTTCTTTGAATCTTTTTTCTCAAAAAAATTGTGTCGTTGAAAAATATTTCGTAATTAAGGTAAACAAGTCATGTTTTAATGACATCGGAAGGTTATTTTTTTCTGACTCATTACTGATATGTAGGAATTTGCGTATTAATTGTATGTTATTATGAAATAAGAACAAAGAACATTATTTACTATGCAAAAAGAATAGTATCTAAATATTATAAATATTTTCTTTAATTATTTAAAAGAAAAATTATTTCGTATTGAATAGTGAAAGAATTATTAAAATTGTTTTTCTTTTCAGTTACAAATTTGGGACACTGCCGGACAAGAAAGATTTCGAACAATTACACAAAGTTATTACAGATCTGCTAATGGGGTAATTGTAGGTAAGTATTTTTAATTAAAAATTAAAATTTAATATCTAAAATAATAATATTATTAATAATATCTAGAATATTAATGATTCAATTTTCAAAAATTTTAATAAAATTCTTCTCAAGAATTCAATTAATTATTTTCATAAATAATTTAATTCTTCACAAGAATTAATTAAATTCACAAATAAAATTATGATTTTTAATTGAAAAAGATTTTGTTTAATTAATTGTTGGTATTCCTTAAGCTTCAAAGCGTTAAATTAGAATTTCATTAGTTTATTCATCAAATTTATATTTAAGAAGAAAATTTATCAAAAAAGTTAGGAAACAAAAATGCAAATAATAATACAGGGTCAGTCCATTATATTTCACCTGAAGCTGTTGCGGCCTATTTTTAAAAAAATCTCATAATTTGTAAAAATGATGTTTAATATCCATAAAATTCATTTTTGAGAATTATTTTATAAAATTTTGTGAATTTAACTTAGAATTTTAATTTTTAAGTTGAGTTGCACAGAAAAAAGGTTAGATTGACAGTTATGTAAATTTAATAAAAAAGCATGGAAATAATTTATATAATACAAATTTCTTGATTGATATTTGTTAAAAATGAGCTAATTTACTTGTATAAATAGATTATTATGTAAACATACCCAAAATAATAGATAAAAATTGATTTTAAAACTTAACTATGAAATGTCAAAAGTCACTACATTTTAATTAAATTTTTTTAAAAAGTGTATAAATATTAAAAAATTTATTACTACTTAATGTAAAGTATTTTCAATGTACTTTCATAATATGTGCTAACTTTTTAATTTTATACTATAGAAGAAATATTTTACCTTTAATATTGAGTGTTTCATGATTTTCATTGATTTTTGATTTTTCAATTACTTATTTCTTCTCAGGTGCAAGACTAAAAAATCCAATTTTTGTCTTAATATTTAAGTTTGAACTTCTTTTCCATTCTATTAAATTTTGGTGATGGAGAACGAGCTACTTTTCATTTTAAATTTAGTTTAAAAAAAGAATTTGTTGTTTAAAATGCAAGTAGATTTTTGCATGACTATTGAGATAGCCAACTTCAGTGTTATAAAATTACCTGCATTTTAACCAACAAATTCGTTTTTTCAGCAAATTTTTTAAACTAAATTTAAAATGAAAAGTAGCTCGTTCTCCATCACCAAAATTTAATAGAATGGAAAAGAAGTTCAAACTTAAATATTAAGGCAAAAATTGGATTTTTTAGTCTTGCACCTGAGAAGAAATAAGTAATAAAAATCAATGAAAATCATGAAACACTCAATATTAAAGGTAAAATTTTTCATATTTCTATATTATAAAATTAAAAAGTTACCACATACAGTACCGTCCGAAATTGTCAGTCCACCCATTTTTAAAGGAATGAAAAAAATTCTTTAACGTAAAATTCATGAAAACTAAAATTTTTTTTGGTTTATATTTTGTAAGAGGATAAAATTTTGAAAAGAATAAGACCTCACAGAAGTTATTTGACCAAAATTTGTAGAAGATATTCTTAAAAATCGTCATTTTCAATGTTTTACAAAAATTTGAATAACTTCTAAAATAATGAACGCATTTAATAATCTTAGGCTTATTTTAAAGGTCATTTTCTACGGAATAAGAATTACTTATAGGCATTAACCTGTAATTTTTTACTTGGAATAAGCATGACGTCAAAGTTGGACCAAAAAATTCAAAAAATTTGAAATAATATTATTAAAAGAAAAATAATTTTTGAAATTCAAACATATTTTTTTATTAACTTTTCTTTAAAAATCTTCACCATATCATGTTTTATATATGTTCTAGAATAGTTTTTAGTACAAAAAATTTATTTCAAATTTTTCCAATTTTTTTGTCCAACTTTGACGTCATGCTTATTCCAAATAAAAAATTACAGGTTAATGCTTATAAGTAATTCTTATTCTGTAGAAAATGACCTTTAAAATAAGCCTAAGATTATTAAAAAGCGTTCATTATTTTAGAAGTTATTCAAATTTTTGTAAAACATTGAAAATGACGATTTTTAAGAATATCTTCTACAAATTTTGGTCAAATAACTTCTGTGAGGTCTTATTCTTTTCAAAATTTTATTGTCTTTCAAAATATAAACCAAAAAAATTTTGAGTTTTCATAAATAGGTAAATTTTAAAATCAATTTTTATCTATTATTTTGAGTATGTTTACATGATAATCTATTTATACAAGTAAATTAGCTCATTTTTAACAAATATCAATTTTGAAATTTGTATTATCTAAATTATTTCCATGCTTTTTTATTAAATTTTCATAACTGTCAATCTAACCTTTTTTCTGTCCAACTCAATTTAAAAATTAAAATTCTAAGTTAAATTCAAAAAATTTTATAAAATAATTCTCAAAAATGAATTTTACACGGAGAAACTTTTTCTTCTAATATTAAATATATTTGGTTATCTTTATTCTAAAAGTACGTTAGAATGTGAGGATTTTTCGTGCGTTGTGCTAATAATTTCAACATTAATACGAAAATATGATAAGTTCGTTATATATTAAGCAACCTTCGGTGTACAAAAATTACTATCTGCATTAGAAATAGTCTTATTTTTCTTTAGAAAAGAATAAAATGCTAGTTTTTGTTTGTGAAATAATACGGTAATTCTAACCTTTTTTCCACATATAGATAGAATATATAACAGACATTCTAACGTAACATACCAATTTTGGAAGGACTGCGGGCGGACTTAACCGATTTCGCCCGAGCATCACCGAGTCTATCACCTGACGTCGCGAACTAACCCTAATGTTTTCGAAGTTGAAATTCACACGTGTATGAAAGAAAAAAACCTTTTATTAATAAACGTGAATGTCTCCTCATGCCAAATTAAATTCAAGAACTGTTCCTCAATATAACATAATTTTTTTCACGACTTTTACTTATTTACATAATTTGATTAGTAAGTTATTTTAAAAAATGCTCTCTCTCGAAGGCACATATTTTTCCACTCGTTTAATATATAAGGACGATTCAGCTGTGTACTTCTAACGAATCGTGCGATCTTTCGGTTTCCGTGACCAATCGTCGTGTCTTTACTTGCGTGTGCGTGTGTGCGTTAATAATATAGGTTAGGTTTCTTACGTCGTGTTAAATATATTTACCTACAGTTACAGTGACATACACTAATGCCATCTACCATCAGATCCAAGTATCACTATCGTCTCTATGAGTATCTATAGACAATTAATTTGTTGTGTTTCTTTGGGGTGCGACCGTCTGTACCAAAAACATAAGTCCCGAATGCTCATTATGCCGAATACATAATTTAGAAATGACTAGATACGCGAATCCTCAATAAACTAAATTATATATTGAATAAAATTCAAAAGTCGAGAATAATCATTTGATACATTCTGCATAATGAAGAATATTAGTTTACACTAATTCCTTTTCTCAAAAATTTGAAATTATTCTAATTTTTATGTTTGAAATTTCCACTTTACCTACATTTTATTTAAATTGAATTCTCATTTAGTAGAATATTTAATTGACCGAATTATAATTTGGCAGAATGTCAATTCGATCGATTTTATATTTGCAAGAAATTTAATTTGAACGAATATCAATTTGTAAGAAACACTTTTTTGAAGAATTTTAATTTATTAGAATTATAATTTCATAGAATATTAATATTGCCAAATCTAATTTTGGTAGAAATCTTCTTTATCACAATGATCAAATGTTCGAATTCTCAAAACCCTAATTTCATTTTTTCTAAAAATGGCTGCAACGTAAATATTTGGCGCAATTTTTAAAATTGACCAATCAGAAATCAGAATTTTAAAAATTGCGCCAAATATTTACGTTGCAGCCATTTTTAGAAAAAATGAAATTAGGGTTTTGAGAATTCGAACATTTGATCATTGTGATAAAGAAGATATCTACGAAAATTAGATTTGGCAATATTAATATTCTATAAAATTACAATTTTGATAAATTAAAATTCTACAAAAAAGTGTTTCTTACAAATTGATATTCGTTCAAATTAAATTTCTTGCAAATATAAAATCGATCGAATTGACATTCTGCCAAATTATAATTCGGACAATTAAATATTCTACTAAATTAGAATTCAAATGAAATAAAATGTAGGTAAAGTGGAAATTCCAAACATAAAAATTTAGAATAATTTCAAATTTTTGAGAAAAGGAATTAGTGTAAACTAATATTCTTCATTATGCAGAATGTATCAAATGATTATTCTCGACTTTTGAATTTCATTCAATATATAATTTAGTTTATTGAGGATTCGCGTATCTAGTCATTTCTAAATTATGTATTCGGCATAATGAGCATTCGGGACTTATGTTTTTGGTACAGACGGTCGCACCCCGTTTCTTTTTAATTCATGGCTTTCCCAACTTTGCAAAAATTATTATTTTCTTTCTAAAACAACATACTAATTTTCGTTAGTTTCCTTATGAAGAACTGTAAAATATATACTGAATGAGTGTTTTTGATAGTCTCAATAGCAATTTCTATAACCTATGTCGTTTTTCCCTTGAATCTAACCTAACATACTAAAATGTCTCACCAGTTTTAAGAATTAGTGGTATTAAAAGTTTCTCCGTGTATGGATATTAAACATCATTTTTACAAATTATGAGATTTTTTTAAAAATAGGCCGCAACGGCTTCAGATGAAATATAATGGACTGACCCTACAACTAACTTCAAACTGGATTATTGTTAAATTATTGAACAAATAATTTTACTATAATGTTTCTTGTACAATAGTGAATAATAATTATTTAGTTTATTCATGCAGTTTATTCAGTTTTGTTTAACAATTTATTTTATTTAGTTTATTAATTAATTTCATTTTTTCAGTGTATGACATCACGAAACGTTCTAGTTTTTTAAGTCTACAACGATGGATAGAAGAAGTTCGTAAATACTCTTCATCTCACGTTCTATTAATTTTAGTTGGTAAGCAAATTTTATTTTTTTTTTTCAAATTATTAATTAGTACCTACTTTTAAGAAAAAGTTTGTTTTTAAAAGACAAATCGTAAACGTTTTCTTCAAAGAAAATGAAAAACTATATAAACAAAAAAGTACATAGGGTGGCCACATGTCAGTAAAGTCAGGGAAATGACAGAAAAAAATTTTTTGTCAGGGAAATTAAGACTTTTATTTGACTTATTTTAAAAAACTGCGACTTTTTCTACATTTCTTCCGCATATTGCAACAAAATACCACATGTTTTAGTATAAAATGCAACTTATATTGATTTTTAAAGTGCAAAAAATAACTATAAACAAATCTTTCAAAAATTATTTTTGAATCACTTTTTAAGATATAATTAGTAAATTTTTCAAATATATCTGTAATAAAAATCTTTTTGAATAATTGAAATTTTCTAAAATTTAATTAAATATCATTAATTTTTTCAAGTATTTTGTTACAGTTTTTGAGAATCAACTTTTGAAGAATTTTAATTGCAAATTTTGAAAAAAATTGAATTATCAAAAATATTAATGAAAAATCTTATATGTAGAGTAGAGGGAGGTAATGTAGTGCAGGGGGTAATGTAGTGCACTGGCTTTACCGACTAAACGAATGAATTGAATTACTTGCCGTTGGTATGGTAGGTTTAAAGTATCAAAGTATATTAATGTATATCATTTTGGGTTTATTGTGCTTCTTCTAAAAGAAGTTGTGGCGTCACTTCAAAAACACTAGATTTCGAAACCATATTTCCGTTTTTTAGTGACTTGAAAAAAATGTAAGGCTCGTTAAAAAAGTATCAGGTTAGTGCTTTTTCCATGTAAAATTTACATCTGAACACAAATTTAGTATTGTTTTGACGTTTAATTTTGTTTTTATTAAGATATTGAAGTCAACGTGAAAAAAGTGCTTGGGGGCATTGTAGTGCACGGGGTTGGGGGAAATGTAGTTCAACTATACAGAGTACCGTAAATATGTATTATTCAGGGTGTCTAGCGTCCGGGAAAAACGGGAAAACCGGGAATTTGCCGGGAATTTAGTTCGACCGGGAAAAACCTGGGAAATTGCCGGGAATTGAAAAAATATCCGGGAATTTTTGGAAATTTTCTCTAATTCATTGAAATCTATAAAAAAATTTTCAATTTAAGGTAGTTCTCCGGCTGCTACTCTTTTAAAAATTGATTTTCGATAGATTTTCTTCAAATTTTGAGGAAATATTTCTTCGGATGCCTTTTAAATGCACACTAAAAAAAAAGTTTTACTTTTAGCCTGTTTTCGAGGCTGAATTTAAGGTGTAAACGGAGTCAGCCCCATTAAACAAGGACAGACTTATGTGAAATACATGGGCTGAATTTAAGGTGTAAACGGAGTCAGACTTTTTTTTTCCTGTGTGTGATAGAAACTTCAAAACCTTTTTCCATGTCAAAATACGAGATATTGTGGTTGACATTTTCTATTTTTAACATAAACGCATGGAAAAGTGAAAGTTTGAACTTGAATAAGTCAAAATTTAGCATCGCAAAGGGTTTTGAAATTTTTACATTTAAAGGGCACCAAAAGAAACATTTCCTCAAAATTTGAAGAAAATAAATTTTTACAAGAGTAGAAGCCAGAGAACTACCTTCAGTCTTATATTTTTCAAAAATGAAAAAAAGATATATTATAAGTATATAGGCAATTTCACGTTAAATTTCAGTCCACATTTTCAATTAGGATGAAAATATATTATTGTAAATCTATTTTTTCATTTCTTATAGGTAACCAAATTTTTGGATTTTTAAAAGTAGACTCTAAAATCTATAACTCTAAAACTATTGAATTTAGAAAATTTATCTAATACATACTTACAAATAATAAGGATAGTTTGCAAAAACAATTTTGGTCCCCCTATAGAATAGAAAAATAAAGGATACGTATACCTTTTTTCTAAAAGGAATAAATAAAATATAAAGTAAAGAAAAAGAAGAAGGAAATCTTTACTTTTCTTTACTTTATTATACTTGGCTTAAAATGAAAAAGGAGTTATACACTCCATATACTATAAATAAAATATACTTGTGACGTAGAATTGACCGTATATTATTATTATTTATATAATTGTTGCATACATTTTTAACATTTTAAAGTCTTCAATTAAAAGTATAATTATAAATCCTAATATTTTTAAGTTATTGCAGTTGAACCTCAGTGACTTTTAATGTAAATATCTAAAAGAAGACATAAATGCCATTGGGTATTGCAAAATAATTCAGAAATAATCATATATCCACAAATATAAAAAAAATAATTGCAATTTCTATTATTTGAACTTTTGATTATCTGAACCAGATCCTGCCTGAATTATTTCGTATAATTCAGTTTCCACTGTATTTAAAAAATTATGAAATTTTAATAGTATAGTCATTAATGTCTTAACCTTTAAAGTGCTATGCCGGTCTGACAGACCGCTATTAAAATTTTCTTTGCTTGTAACTTTTTTTCAAAGTATAATAAGAACTTGAACTTTTTAGTAGCTTCATATTTTATAAAAATCTGTTAGGAGACAACTTTTTCAAAAGTTTTTATTCGTTAAATTTTGTAATATAAATAAATATTTGAAGTATAGCGGTCTGTGAGACCGGGGTTAGCTTTAAGTGAAAGTATATTCCAGTATATTCCCATGAGTGACGTCTGCGCAACTTGACGCGCAGCTAGTTCTACTGACAGTTCTCATAGACTGCATTTATAAAATAAATAAAATAAATAAATGCATAATACAGAAATGACTTTTTTTGTTAAAAAGTAAAAAATATTTATAATAGTTGCCTTTTAAAAATTATAAATGACTAAAAAACTGTCAAAAGGGAATAGCGGTCTGACAGACCGGGGTTAGCACTGAGCGTGATTTTTCAACACTTAGCACTTTAAAGGTTAAAAATAAATCCGGGAATAATTTAGTTTTAGGTCCGGGAAATCCGGGATTTTGTCGGGAATTTGAAAATCATAATTCGCTGGACACCCTGATTATTTAACCATGTTTGCCTTTTGCAAATTTTTGCTGTTTTCTTTCAGTTTTATCTAACACAGGACCAGAGATGTTAACTATTTCAAATAAATCTATTTCAAATGCAAAATGCCTATTTTCATTTTACATTTTAAATGCATTTGCCGAAAACCATTTTGCATTTTGATTTGAAATGGTTTTTTTCATTATTTTGTATTTGAAAATGCAAAATACAAGAAAATTTTTTTTATATTGTAGCAATTTTTTCTTTTAAATACTACACTTTAGAATTTAAAAAAATTTTATTTTTTTATTGTATTTTTTAACTCCTTATGACTTCAGAAAACACCTCCTAAAGTATTTATAACCAATTGTAAAAAAAAGTAAATTTTTCAAAAAATATTCAATTAATAAAAAAAGTCATTGACAAATTAAGTAAGTCTTTAAGGGGATGGTGGGGTCCAGCTTTTTGTTACGACGAGTAGAAACATTGGTGCTAATGTATGTAACAGTGTCTGAAATAAAAAAAATGGTTGGGGTTTCAATTTGCAAAAGAATTTTAGGTAATTTATGGATGGCCTCTAACGATACATATGAGTTTAAACGCGTTTTTCTCAAAATAATGTTTTCTCAAATTGCGGAAAGTTTATCTCTGAATCTACTGAACCGATTTTAATAAATGATAACTCGTTTTGTTTGTTAGCATGTCTTGTGTGAGAATTTACCAGAAAATGGTCAAAAAATTCAAAAAAAACATTTTTGCAGACTAGAAAAATACTGAAAAACATAGTGTATTTTGACAAAAATTATTTAAACATCTGCTATTTTTTTATTTTAGTCGATTTTTCATTATTGGTGGTAGATTTCTATGCAAGACACCTTCCTTTTTAAAAAACAATTTGGACTTTTTGTTTCCGATTTGTCAATCTTGAGATAAACTGTCCGCAATTGAACAACTAACTTTTTGGAGTTTCGATCTGAATGCTGTCTGCAGATTATGATATTAAATAAAAATTAAAAACCACTTTTTGTGATGATTACTATAGCTGTTGTAAGGAGTACAAACATGAAGGTATCCCTTACAACAGCTATAGTAATCGTTCCTACTCAATTCTTAGCACATTACATAGTCTTCGTAATCATTCCAAAAAGTGGTCACATATCCGAGCTGTAATGTAGACTATTGTAATCATTAAAAAGAATTTTTCTCCGTGTAATATAGACAAAAAAGTTTTTTTTATATTTATAATAAAAGACCTAAGAAAAAAAATTTTTTAATTTGGTCTTTTAAGAGCCTTCTAAAGTGTAGTAGTACCTTAAGGAGATTCTTGGGCTAATTCATTTTCTTTTAAATTTTACCAAACTTTATTAGAAAATATTCATTTTTACATACTAAAAACGGAAATTTTTAGGTTCAAAGTTTCAATATTTACATAGGATTTCACATCAAGCATTCGAAAATGAGATACACGGAAAGAAAAGGTCTGGAAGAGATATCCATAAAAATATTGTTGAGCAGAATATTGTTGTGTTATCCAATTCAATGGAAGAGACAACTTTCAGAATGGAAGCACATTCCATATTCAATGGATAAGGGAGCCATATTATATTGTTGAATCAAATATGGATGTGACATCCATAGGCATGGTTGGGCTAACAATTCATGCTATGGATTTTCACATATGGCTGCCTCATCCATATAAACTTTGGTTGGGAAATCCATAGTTAGTACAAAATTTCGATACATGTTGCGCGCAATTCATTATCATGGCATCCATTTAAAAATGGTCGTCTCAATTTGTCCGTCGCGTCGGTTTCCTGTCACGTCTATATAATCGCGTTGTGAGTTTATTGTGTATAAATAGTGTTACAATTGTTTATTATTTATTATCGTTATTGTCTATTTGTGTTTATGTAAATTCATTTTCATGAAATATGTGTAGAGTATATAAGGAATATTATATGCTCAAATATTGTAGTTGCGTGTATAGTGTAGT